GATGACTGTTTTTCACTCTTAACGACCATTGCAGAGCATTCCCAATGTCACATGATCAAAATTTGGACGCTCGGCAGCTGACTCGTATTTATGACGGTTGCAGTGTCTCGGGGTGGGGGGGAGGTCACGTTGTTGTTGGAAATAACTCAAAGCCAACAAAAGAAACTTGGATCGTTGAAAGCAAAGAGGATTTATTAAAAAGAAATATTAAGACGGTTTGCAAAGCGCCGGTGGTCTTTAGAACCTCAAGGAACAGGCTCGAGATCAAAAGCCATCCCTTGAGAACCTCAAAACATACTTTATGTGCAGTTTCATCGGGTCACCCAAGTTCCCTCCTTCTTTGAGACTCATTCCTTCCCAAGTTCAAACTCACTGGATTTGCCCTCAGGTGTTGCAACTAATCCCAGGATGTCTCCAGGGAGAATGGTCTCCTTCCGTTACGTTCTCATCCGTGCCCCTCCAAAGTACCTCTTACTTTGGCTGCCCACGTGGCATTTTTCCTTAGCGTTAAGGAATGTAGCATCCCCTCATCAGGGCCTCTTTCTAAGCTCATCCTATACTACCATTTTTTTCCAAAGAGATGATAACAACAACTCCCCCCCCCCCCGAACATAAATATAATATAAAATAATAATATACATAAGATAAAAATATAAAAAGGCTTAACCATGGAGCCTGTCAAAAGTATAAAAGCAAAACATGTAAATACAGGGAGATATGTTTCATTGGGTAACAGATTCATAGAATTGGAAGGGATCCCGCAAGGTCATCTAGTCCAACCCCCATTTGTGAAACCTTTAAGCATCTTGTGTACCATTTTATTTTTGAATTTGCTTATTTCTAATAACGTGATTCCCCTTTGGCGACCTTCTGACAAGCAAACTCGGCTTGGCGACAGACTCGTTTTTATGACGGTTTTACCATCCTGTGATCGTCGTTTGCAATCTTCTGACCAGCGAAGCTGATGGGGAAAACTGGATCCGCTTAACAACCATGTGACTAACTTAACTACTGCAGTGATTCACTTAATGTCGTAAAGGGGGGCAAAATTCACTGAACAACTGTCTTGCTTACAACCACAATTGTGCCCCAAAATTTCTGTTGCTAAGTCGAGGAAAAAAAGAAAGAGAACAAATGTACAGTAGTATTTGTCAAACTTGCCAGCTTTAAGATAAATGGACTTCGACTCCCAGAATTCCCCATCCAGCCATCCAGATCAAAACCTTCTCTTGCAAATGGTTGTTTAGCTTCCATCTGAGCACTTAATAATGAAGTGGAAGTCAGGATCTCAGCGGACAGTTGATTCTACTGTTGAATTACTCTTTATTTCATCCGTTAATCTGTTGTGTTGTTGGCGTTTATTTTTCCCCCTTTCTCTGCTCTGATAATCAAAGCTGCGTATTTGAAAAGCCTTGAATGATACGTTGGAAATTCAAATCACACATCCCTTGTATGCAAAAAAAAGATGACGAGATGGGACATAGATGGGTTTTTAACACCAGACAGCGAAGTAAACAAATATGGATAGATCAAGCAATCATTATTCTTCTTTAAATTTATATACTGCCAGACTCCCTTGCAGCTCGGGGTGATTTTCAAAGCGTTTAAAAGATGAAAGGCATGACAATAAAAAACAATGAGAAACAACCAAGAAATAGATAGATAGGGTGGAATAAACTGGGTGATAGGGAAAAAAAGAAGAGAAACTAAGTTTTAAAAAAAAGGAAGGATCAGCGCTTCAGGTCCCTTCAAGGCCACCTACGGGAGGGCTGTTTGGATTACACAGGGTACCCCATTCCAGAAGACATTCATTGCAAGAGAGAAGGTTCCTGATAGATGTCATAGCTTAGCTGAAGGGTTCTGGAATGTGACAACTTTACAGCATCAAATCAGCACCATGTAAAAAAGATCTTGAGACTCCGTCTTCAAACTTGAGAGTTTTAAGACTTGTGGACTTTCAACTCCCAGAATTCCTCCTCCAGTCATGTTAGCTCAGGAATTCAGGGAGTTGAAGTCCACAAGTCTTAATCTGGCCAAGTTGGAAGGCCCTTGTGATAGATGATGGATGGATGGATGGATGGATGGATGGATGGATGGATGGATGGATAGATAGATAGATAGATAGATCGAC